GCAGCCTCGCGTGGCCTCTCTGCACGGGGGGTCCGCGCGGGGCTGAGTGCGGGGACGAGAGGGAATATTTATCACACAGCCGCGTTTCACCTGTGTGAAATAGAGCTTTAAACGATGAGCAATGAGAGCGGAATATTGCATATCAACCCTGTACTGTTTGTGTTTGCATGCCGCTGAGGCTTTTTCTATTAGCATTAGTGTTAATTGCAAATATATTTTTTCTTTTTACTGTATTATATCATATTTCGATCTTGTTTTCACAAATAGCCGGCAACGCACAGCAACAAATAAATCGAAAGTACCCACGAATAAAAGCCGGAGCCATATCGTCCAATAACACCAGTGGAGCAGCGATAGCTCCAAGCTCTATTCCAATGCTCACTCCGACTAAACAGTGACAAAAGACCTCCTGGAATCAGCCAGCGACCTAGTGTGTGTTCCTGTCATGTTATGGACCCCCCCCCCTAGTCTTTCCCTTGCACAAGGAGCACTACATTAATAATGTGTAGAAGTGCATTGTTCTGCAGAGCAAGAGGGGACGGCTGCACATTCATAGTGCATGCCCTAAAATAACAACAGTCCTTTTCCCGAGTACATTTTTAACCCTTAACGCTAAAGTAAGATCCCAATTGTTGAAACATGATTTTCCCACTTTAATTTGGGTTTAAGTGGCATTATTACTGAGTGAGAGAAAGATAATATTCCACATCGTTGAGTATGTGAAGAAGAAAAATGAATACAGTAGTATTATATAGTGCAACCGTATGCTTCATAATACCTTCTCCCTCGCATAAACAAATCCAAGTGAGCTCAAAGCGGCCACCTGCGGGCTGTATCGCCGTTCAAATGTCCGCGAGGTTGTGAGAATACGAGTGAATGAAATGCAACCCGGTGGACTTGAGAGAAAAGGGACTTGTGGTGTCGAATGTCACGGCCGAGCCCTCGGTAGCCCGGCAGCATGCAGGAGGAGATGCTGCAGAGAGGAGATCACGATGCTGGGAGGGTGGGAAGCTGGGATAGACCTCCTCCCTGGTGAAGGATGGACAAGCCGCGGTTTTGGCGCACCCCTCCCCTCCCCCTCTCCCTTCTCCCACTCTGACTCTGTCTCTCCCTCTCTTCATACTGGTGCATTACTGCTCACTGTTCTCCTCCCTGAGTTTAATCAGCCTGTCAGCAGTCGCAGACTCAATCAGTCACTCCCTCCCCTGATCTCTGACCAGCACACTGCCAGGATGTGCCGCTGCCCGCGGTGCACGTTAATGATGTGCTGCACAGTTCCTCTTTTCACAGTTCTTCATCGTCGCGTCTAATCGGCTGAAGCACAGTTTCCTCGAAAAATAGATCACTGTAATAATCCTTTTGGCGGCTCAAAGTCTGTCTGTTGTTCCTTTTTTATTATTGATATCGAATCGGTCACCCCACAGAAACCCGGAGGCCTGGAGCGACATGGCAACATCTTGCCCAGAATAAAGGTAACGGGCTCTCCCGTGTGCTGCCGGGCAGAGTGCGGAGAAGATTGTTTAAGTGTAGACAGACACGCCATTACCCTCTGGTAATAGTGCCTCCCTGGCAATAAGTGGATTCGCCCCCCCTGGCCAATTGATCGGCAGAGAGGAAGGGTTCCTCGGGCTGCTCGCGCCGGTTCAGGACCGTAAACTGGGCAGCTGTCCGTGGTGCTGAAAAGCCGGCCGCTTCTTTTTCACTTTTCCCTTCTTCACCACACTGGATTTGCAGCATCAGGTATTTTCAGCCAATCAGGACCATGCACTAGTTTGACAAACGGTATTTTGGACTGGTTTTCGTCTACTCCGATTAATCTGGGGCAAGGCAGACACTCACACAAACAGGCTGACTCCTTATAAGCCTGAAAAGTAATTTGCCTCCGGGTAACTCTGAACTTAACATCCATTTTTCTACGTCTGCATCGGTAAAAATTGGACGTTTTTCCTTCTCCGAATCGAGGGACAAAGGACGGGGTGTGCTGCACACGTTGTAAAACCTCTCAGGGTAAATTGTGATTTTCAGTGCTCATTATTGCTCTTTTAAAAGTTGTGACAAGCCTTGCAGGCAGGCGTCGGCCTTTGGTTTTGTGATACTGAAAACACGTTTCTTTAGTCGTTGCCATTTGGCAGAGTTCGTTGACTGGTTGCGGGACCCGAGGGCCGCGCTGCATCGAGGCCGCTCGGTAAACAAGTCGGGGGAGAACGCGCTCTGCACAGCTGGAGACGAGGAGCGAGTAAGCGCCATGAATTATTTGTTACCCTGGATCAACACGTCGCAGCCCAAAGTGTGGCTGCAGATTAATACACACTGTTACGCTCCGTATCACACAGTGTATTACGAGTCCGCGGTCGCTCCCGTCTGCTGCAAGGGGCACTTTGTTTCCTTCTACTGCGGCTCGGGAGTATTGATCAGTGATTGGACGCCTTTTCCCTCCAGCTTTTCTCCTCCCTCCACTGCGGGGAGATGCCATTTTTGACTCATGACTTGGTTGTTGTTGTTTTCTGTGGGGGGGGGTGTTGTCTGCATAGTCTGTCAATCATGAATTAGTCAACATCTCATCACTATTTCATCCTCACCATCAAGTTTTGTTCCTCCTCGACATGTTATTTCTCATGTTTTAGAAATGCTTTACACGTTTAACGCAGTCTGCTGATGTGGTGTGAAGCCCTCTCGTTCACTTGAGTCCGTTGGGAACTTGTCATGGCGAACGGCGGGCGCGCCATCTCGCCAACATCAACGCCTTCCCCCGCCACGGCGTCTTTCTGCCGTCTTTATTGCCCATTATCTGGGAAACAAACTGGCCACTTTCAGCCAATTTATGACTAAGCGGTTCCTTCCCCTCTCCTGTGGTTTCTGCTGCAGTCCCGTCCTTCCTGTCGCGTGGGCCGCTTGTAATTTATTTCCGCTTTGTTCCTTCTGCATCTCTTTTGCTAACCACACTTGTAGGCAGGTGAGCTCGAAGTCTCATATCACTCAGTGTAGATAGTTTGAGTCAGGTGAAGGGTCTCTTCTTTCATCGTTGATGATGATCCATGAATCCTTCAAACCATACACAGTAATCGTTAATATAAAACAGAAAAACACATTGTCTTTTTTTCTCAGATTGAGGTTCGTTTGGAATTTGGGCGAAATGATTTGCGGATGCACCACTTCGACCTTTTTATCGTGATACCGATACCTGAGCTTTGTGTATCGGCAAATACAGACTACTGATACAATACCAGTGTTTCTTTAATAAACACCTGACAAAGGGAGCGAGGATAAATTCTCTCCTTTCTGACCTGGTCTGAAACCTTTTGCAAACAAGGCCGTTGACATAAAATATTCCCAAAAGTTATTTGTTAATGCTTCCAGGTGGATGATATTTTAAATGTTGCCTGCTTTACCCACAATGCAACGTGAGTGCAAAATGTTGGTTTAAAGAGGCTCTGATTTGTTATGCTAGTAGCGGCTAACGTAGCTCAGAGCTTCTCGCCAGCAGGACGTCCGGTTGGCTCATTTCTTTATTTCTCAGATCGCCAATCTGACTCTCCGAGATCTGTAACAGCCCGCAGGTACAAAGAATTTCGTTTTAAATAAAATTCAATTTTATTTCATTGTATGTATTGTCCGTGGGGAAAAAAAAAGACAATTTATATCTTGTTATACCAATATATCTGTGACAAGATAATATCCGGCTCTTTTTATTATAGGATATGTATGCAGTGTATGTATGCAATGCATGAACTGACTCTGTGGATAAATTAAGGGACTAGCTGGTGAACTCTCATATTTGCTTCCGCGGTTACAACAGCTGTAGAGGTAAAAGGAGACTAAAATATTAACAAGTGTTGGACTGATGAATCTATAAATTGATGGTTGCTATGTAGACAACAATTCTATTTTAACAAATCTCATTTTGTATTGTCAGTATTGATTAGAACATTGCTGGAAAGGCAGTAATACAATAAAATATAGGTTAAAAGGTAGTGGATTTTGGGATTGTCTAATGTTTTTGTATTGACTATCCCTCAGTTTGTCCTCACGCTGACCCACCAGTCCCACCGAATGCCCTGCTGGTCCGGAGCAGATCGATGAGTACATCGCTCCTTTAATGCATAGCAGCGATAATTAGGCCTTGGAGGATATCAGTGAACTGACAGATGCATCATTTTGACCCAGTGAATCCAGGCTGGGCTCAAGGCAGCAGCACAAATCGACCTCCTACTCCGACAGGGCTTCCACTGTTGAGGTTTAAAAAGCTGGATTTGTCTGTCAGTGTGTTTGAGTGTGAGTGAGTGAGCGCAGGGAGGGACGTTGCCTACCTTTTTGTATAGAAACCAGTATTGCGTGATGGAACGCAGCGTTTGTGATGCGTAACCATGTGTGTGTGTGTGTGTGTGTGTGATGCGCAATGTTGAAGTCCGGTCCTTCCTGGTCGTTTCAGGGCTGCAGAATGTTCACTTCAGTGAAGGCCTTCGACGGGCAGCAGTACTCCACCCTGAAGAGGCAGTGCTTGCAGAGTGGCCTGCTCTTTGAGGACCCCCGCTTCCCCGCCATCGACGACTCGCTGTTTCACCACGGCAACAGAATCGGACGCGTGGTGTGGAAGAGGCCTCGGGTGAGTCACAGCGTAGGTTTACGGTTTGAGGCTCCCTGTGGGTCAAAAGCTTGAAATGATACATTTAGGGGTCTCCTAAAAGTACAGTATCTGCCCAGGAACATATTATGACAATGGTGTACTTAAGTGCACGTGCTAATGCTGCTTCGGCCCCCAGCAGGAGCACCGTGTCTGTCTTGCCCGTTAGAGCGTTCACCCCCCCCCCCCTCCCTTCCACCCTCCCCCGATGAGCTCTTCACGCCTGGTCAGCGGCCATCAAGAGTTTCTCCTCTCCCTTCTGTGGTCCTCTGGCGCAGGCCGGGCGACCGGACGTATATTTCAGTGGCAGATGATACCGGATGCAGGGCCTCAGGATTCAGTGAGCCGACTACCCCTCCCCCCCCCCAACCCCCACCCTGCCCCGCGTTCTCCCCCCCCTCACACAGCAGGCTGTGGCTCTGGACGGAGTAACCTCCTTCTGCCTGTGTGCCGCCGCTGCTGCAGCAACAGCCAGCGTGCATCGCCATGGAAACTGGGTCACACAGATTATATGTTTTGGTCTGTGCCGACTTCAGTCATGCAGACTGAGAACTGGAAGGAGCTTCCTTTTTTCGTTTACGTCAGGACAGGATTTGTGTCTTCAGTGGCGGTGGTTTATATGTCAGGAGGTTGGAAACAGGAAGACCAAACAGGCCTATTTTTTTAGCGGCCATTTAATGAAGCACGCTTAGTGTGCAGATCAGATTCTAAAGCTACTTATCAGTAGTGAATCACAAGAACAGCTAAATGACACTTGCTTTTTGTCCTTGAAAGCCTATAACCAGTAACACGTGAGAAGATAAAGGTGTGTCATCGGTTAAAGTGGTTCTTTGAAATAATAGCTATTTGAAAATGGAAGCTAAGTGTTCTGATCATTTTACTAGAATGATCACAGTGGTATGATCAATTGAGTTTATTTAGTATGACCCAAAAATCACAAATTTGCCTCAGAGGGATCTACAATCTGCGGGCATCTTGCGAAAAGCAGGTCATGTCATTTAGACAGAATACTTGCAGGAAAAACGTCTGTATCACTGCCAGAGCTGTGAGATCCTCAGGGGACCTTTAAGCTACAATCATATCACATAGATGTGCTACTTCAGCGCTGCAACCATATTCTCTGTTCTCTATATTCTCTTATTCTTTATTTCACGAAAAACGTGTTATTTAATGAGTAACCCTGACAACGAGCGCTGCCGCGCCCTCACGAGTCCTGGTCCCACTCTCGCGTAGCTTTTGAAAAGTGGGGTTTGATCTGATGAGCGTGGGAAAAAAGGGGGGCGATGGGGAATTGATGTCAACTTGCAGATTGGATTGGACTGTCAGGAAGGACCTCAGTGATGCTGTGATCGATGCCATCCGTAATATTTAGAGTTGTTTTATGTTTTAGACGGACCGACGTGGATCTCTGTAAAATAATCGAATGTAGACATGAATTTCCGCGGCGGCTCCAAAGTGACTCTCCGCTGTAAAAAGCCTGTCGGCAGCAGTTTGGTGCGCAGCAGCGGGAAAAGAACCCCCGAGTCATCACAAGTGGTACATCGCCTTCCGTGCATGAGCTCTCGAGGCTGCACCTTACGGGGCCTCGGAGGGGGTACGGGGGGGGGGGCTCGACTCGTAAGTCGACTTTTATGGGAAGTTGATTAATGTTAAAGTTAGTTTGGCTCCGCGTTCTCCAAACGCTCCCCCAGGTTGATCTAATAAAACCCAGACGGTTCCTGCCCTCGTGTCGTTTCTAATCCGCCCGGCAACGCAGCGGTTGTGTTATCAGTGGGAGGGTGAAGGTTCACCCCCCCCTCCCCTCCTCCTGCTCCTGTAGAGGTTGTTGGCGGCTCGGTGTTATCCTCGCTCAGATGCGCCCAGGCGATATTTATGGCTGCAATGAAGTCCCGGTGGAAGAGCGTGGGTAAAGAGCAGCCTCTAATAAAATGGTCCCCCATCTCTGTCCGTCTCACATTGTCCCTCAGATTGCCCCCCCCCCCCTCCTCCCTCCTCCCTCCCAGCTCTTCCACTCATTTGTGCTTATTTATGTCTCGACTGGGCGAGGGCGGGGCGACGTGACGCCACACGCTGAGAGACGGAGGGGGACGTTTCCGCTGAGCACTCAATGCGATTAGTACCAACTCATGACTCAAAGCAATCCCGGTCCTTGTGTTACTTATGTTATAAAAATCACATCCCACGTAATTAGGTATTTGGATTTTAAGCACTGGTATATTCATACCTCTGATCAGTAAACATCTCTTATTTAGGTATCAGGGGAGGAAAACAAGCGCATCCCTATAACTTTTATAACAATTTGTTGAGGTATTTCAAGGTTTATCACAATCTGGATCTTGCCTCTATAATTTTGATGGCTTTATGGGAAAACAGGTCATTGAAATCAGTATATAGCCTGTTAATATTCATTAAACTAAATATTGTATCTTATATATACATGTTTAATGGACACTACGTGATGGTTCCTCGCGCAGGCTGATGGACGGTGCTGAGGAGTTCTCAGTAGCTGGGTAAATGATTAGGCCACAATATTCACATTACTCCAGTGTCTGCGGGACTCTGCCGGGGATCGATACTGCATTACTCTTCCGCCTGAGCCAATCCGTGGTCGGCGAGGCCACCGCAGGGAGCCCCCCCGCCGCTGCTCAGACCACCGATCAATGCCGCTGTGGACAGGAGGGGCAATAAAGAAACGTGACTAGAGATCTCAACTCCGGCCCCGGGCGGAGTTAAAGGGTTGTTCCGACCCGCTCGTGCAGGAAGTGGTTCAGTGCAGGTCTCTGTAAGGTGAGGTGGGGGAGGGGTTCGGGAGGGGGGGGGGGGGGCCCGGGAGCCCTCCCGGGAGCGCTGCACTGGCCTCTGCTTCTGAATAGAAGCTTGGCTTTTACAGCAAGCAGAGTCAGCAGATTACTGACCCTTGTGTGCCGGGGGTGTGTGTGTGAATTTTGTTTGGTAAGGTGCGCTTTTCTCTCCCACACCACTGAACGTGCCACCACGTGGGGTTTGTGCTTGCGGTTGGCATTTCTTTGACCACCGCGACTGACACAGAAAAGGGTGCAGGCGGTTTCTATCGTTTGGAACAGTGACCGAATCTCCAAACTTTTCTGTAAGTCTCTTTATTTACTCTTATAAAACCAAATGAACGCAAAGACCTTTCAAGCGTGAAAGCAAAAGCATTCATAAGAATGCATGAGCAGAGTGTCTGGGGTTATCGATCACACCGGAGCGCCTTTCTGATGCACATTTACATAAACTCAAGTCTAAAGGTCTCGATGTAAACAATCCATTTGTCCCTGTCTTCAGCAAATGCATCCTTCAGGTTCCCAAGTGCAAAGTGGTTCTCTCCACTGCATAAATATCGCACACCAGGTCCGTCTATTCATCGTATTTCAGACATCTTTTGGTGCACCGTGCTGCCTCTGTTGCCAAGCTGCATTGCATTTTCGGGTGCAGCCTCTAATGTTGCAGATGATTTTCCCTCTGAGCGGAAATGACAAATAGCCTCTCTCCTCCGCCGGGCGGATCGGTTTTCATTAAAAGGCCGTTTGTACCGTGGTGCCGGTGCAGAGGTCCGCCGTGTGTAATTCACATGAGTAAATGGCCGCGTGCATCCATCTCTCGCCCGCTTTTACTTCTCCGGCCCTAGTTGAGTGTGTAAAGATAAAGAGCTGTTAAACGGCGCTGGGCTTTCCCAGTCGAGTAATGGCCGAGGTGCCCATCGACCCGCCGGTCCCATAAAGCAGGGGAGCGCTAACGGACTGTTCACAGCCCCGAGTGCTGCCAGCAGAGAGTAAAAAAACCAGGGCGCTCGCTCTTTTATGTTGGACTGGCGTTAACCTTTTACAGTCAAAGATCCGAACACCGGCCTGTCACTGAAACGATGGACATGAGTGTGTGTGCTGAATCGATCGGTCATGATTTGACATAAACATCAGATGCTTTGAAAGAACGTTATTACACACTATTATTTTAATTTTAATCAAAATACAAATATCAAGTGAAAACTGTACACATTGTGAATACTGTGTGTAAAGTTTTTCTTATTTAGTCCATTGTGAAGCATCGGAAAAAGTAACTTTTTTGCACACCGCCCCTGGTTAGTGTAGCTTATTGTGCGTACAGAGAAGAGCAGAGGACAGGGTGTCCCTCTGTGAGGGCCCAGTGTCGGCTCGCACGCTGTAGTATTCATCCCACACTTTATCACAGGAACCACAGGATGTCTTCCTGTGTGTGTGTGTTGGGCGATAGGTGCATTAGTCCTGCACAGGGAGAGAAGCTCAATGAGGACCATGTTGTTCGATGTAATAGAGGTCCGTCTGTACACATTGTGGTAGAAAATGGACCTCGGCGCTGCAGCCACAGGAAATGTGATTTCATAAATGCACACAGCCCTCCCACACTGATGGTGAATATGATACGTGGGTGCATCGGGACAGATGGTCTTTTTTGGATTCATGCATTCGCCTTAATAAACCATCCGAGCTCCTTAACTTCCTGTAACGTACACACTGCGTTCACATATGCTATTTCACCTTTTATGCAGCAAAGAAGACTTATTATTTTCCCCTTAAATTATACATAACCTTGGCTCAAGCACCTCCCATCCAACGCTCGGGTATCATGGAATACTTTGGCTGCCCTTTTTAGCACTGCACTGTTCGTGTTGAACCTCAGAGCTGCCCCGCGCTGAACTTTTGCGTGTCCGTGTTTGGGAGTGCAGGAGCTGTGTGAGGACCCTCACCTGTTTGTGGATGGCATCAGCGCACACGATTTACATCAGGGACAACTGGGCAACTGCTGGTTCGTAGCGGCGTGCTCCAGTCTGGCCTCAAGAGAGTCTTTATGGCAAAAGGTAAGTGCTTTATTTCACGTTTTTACACCAATATATTTTTTTGTTTTCTATTTCTGCTGCTGTCTTTCTTTCAGACTCCAGTAGCCCGACAGAAATCTACCATACAATGTCTCGTGCCACCTCATAATGCTCACAACACAAATGACAAAAGGGTAAACGTTGCTCTCGTGGTGAACACTAAAAAACAAACTGCGCAATTCCCAAATCTCCCTTTCAGCCATTTTTATGTGGGTCTTTGCTGCTGAGTTAAACTGACGAGCCGTCCGTTATTAAATGTATTTTTATTATAACATCTACGCAGGCAGTAGGGGACCATCTACGACGTGCTCAGTGCTGGAAAGTGGACGGACATCTAGAGCCTATTTTAGTAGATGTTTTAGGTAGCTCGGGAACAGCTAGCAAGCTAACGATCAGATCCGTCCAAGATGTGAGCCGTCGCTTGTCGGGGACGTTGACTGATCTTTTGCATCCGTCTTGAGAGAGCAAACAAAGGGATCACCGCGGTTTAGCGGGATCTGAAACGAGATGCTGGATGGTGACGGCCTGCTCAGAGGGGATGTGTACGCACCGTATCCCTCCCTCTGTTTACACCGGTTCTCTATCCCCGTTTAATCCCACAAACGCGCACAATCATCACACAACTCTGTATCCATTTGAGCGGCGTGTTTACTGCTTCATTTCTTTTTCTTTTTATGATTCCTTGTCATTTGCTTTCTCGCAGAGAGCAGTGCCGCTTGAGACTGTCAGGTCAATTTTATTCATGCAGCTCAATATCACAAGTTTTCCTGAAGGGGCTTTAGAGTCTGTAATAGAATACGACACCTTCTGTCCTTCGACCCTCCACTGGGGTCAGACAAAACTCCCCAGAAAACCCTCTAACATGAAGACTTAGGAAGAGCGACAGAGGGCGGATCCCTGTCTGAGAACTCTTTTACAAATTAACCAAATGAAATGATGAAATAGAAATCTGAAGAACCCTGTTTGGGGCCGTTGTGCAGGTCTCCTGGGCCTGTAGCTTCTATGCTACTGGTTTGCTTGAGATCTGACCACAGCTAAAGAAGTAAGATGCCACTCTCTCTCGATCTGGACCACCGGGGAAGGATGTTTGGTGAAGCATCCTTTGTGCAGAGATGTTGATCGCTTCAGTCTCTTCGTGTTGTCTTCCTATGAAAGCAAAACAAGTAATGGTCCAACTCTCACCGGAGCAGATCGTGTTCCCCAGTGAGACCCGAGTGCTTTCTACATTTTTACTTTGTATCGCTTATTCATCTGTTAATTACCAGCAAACTGTGCCTCTCATTCGGATCCAGAACTTCTGATTTTGCCTTTTTAAATATGTTTAATTGCTGGTGTATGTTTGTTCATCATCACTTAATAATAAGATGACTTTCCCCAAATCCACTCCATTTGTTAAGGCTGATTCTTTCTATTTATGCATTCAAGTCTTTTTTTTTTGTTATCACAGAACGGATTGATAGTTCGCGTGTTGAGTTAGAAAGCCTCCCGACACCTCAGTTATTTTTCGCTTCTCTCGCGCCTCGTCAGGCGCGCTGCTTCTCGTCGTGCAGTCACAGTTTGTGTTTCATCCGCCCGCCGCAGACCGAAGCGCGGAGGCCGAGGGATGAAGCCCGCGTGCCCGCCCTCTCTCTCGTTTGTCAGGGTCACCCTGCGAGACGGACGAGGCAACAGGAACCTTTTTGCCGCCGTCCACCGGGGAATATGAACGGGCGCGCGCGCTTGTCTCTATCCATCACCCCACCGGGGACTCATCTCTACCAAACCCGTCGGGGACGGCTGTTTGTCGGAGAGGAGAGGGGGAACAACACAACGCGCCCTCCGTCGTTGGTTAAGAAGAAACACCTTTTTGAGTTACTGGCTTTATTTGTGTATAGCTACATTTGACATCACAAGACACAAAGGTCAACAGGTTCAGCAACGGAAGCAAGGTAGAGGAGGGCCAAGAGCGTCGCCTCGTCCTTCCCGGGCGTCGGATGATGCGATAAGTAAGGCTTTCTTTTCTCCCGACTCCCGAACGGATCAAAAAGTCACTTTGCGTAAGTCACAAAAAGTCACTTTTTGAGTCTCAGCGATCCGCCGTGAAGGTGATGGAGCAGTCGACGGCCTGAGGGCCGCAGCCGTCTGCAAACGCAAACAGGAAGTACATCACCTTCCTCACCCTCGCCGACTCGGCGATGCGCTCGCCGAGCTCGTGCGCGTCGGCCTCGTAGCAGCGGACGGCCGCGGCGCCGGAGTCCCCCGGCGACCTCCAGAAGACCGCGACGGGCTCCAGCAGCTGCCGCGTCATCAGGTTGGTGAGGTCTGGCGTCCACAGCTGCGAGGTGGCCGTGATGGTGAGGCGTCCCGTCTGGACCGGCCCCGCCGACCACCGCGAGAAGCTGAGCGCCTGCCTGGGGAAGTCCAGTCGGTACACGGCCTCGTTGGGCCGCAGCAGGCGCTCGCCGTCCTGCCTCCCCTGGCCTCGCTGCTGCAGGGACTGCACCCGCAGGCGCATCACCTCCGTCAGGTGGGTGTCCGGCCGGAAGGTCAGCTCCAACTCCGCGGACATGCTCGGGGCGGCGGGCCGAGAGGTCGACGCCACCCGCGGGAGGGGGGTTGGATTTCGAGCGGCGGCGGGCCGGAAGCTGAGCTTCTCGACTTCGTGTCCGTCCTCCTCCCCTTCTCTCCAGTCACTCTCACGCGTGTGTTCGTGTCTGCGTGGCGTCGGCGGGAGGGGGCTGGCCGTGCACAGGGGTGCCGATTAGCACAGGTGCTAAGCGACAAGATCCAACGAGATCTTTGTTCCCCCTCGGGGAGCTGCGTCTTGTGTCTTTCCTCGACTGCAGGTCTTTAACACCCGACTTGGAGCGCTGTGTTATCACACCCCCGGGGTTGTGAAAAGGGTAAAGCAGCCCCTCTTTGCGTCGGCGCTGGACTCCGGCAGGTGAAGGGAAATCCTCCTCGTCCCTCTTACTCTGCAGCGCCTATCGACTGACAGCAGGAGGAAGCCAAGGTGCCTTCTGCTTGTGTTTTTAACGGTGGGTGGTCGGGTCACCTACCCACCAGGGTGCAGTGCAGTGTGTGTGTGTGTGTGTGCACCGCCACACTCTGCCCGGGTGAAAGGTGAGATAAATGGCGCCTTCGCTCCCTCGCTACCCGCGGTGCAGAGTCACTGAGTAAGCAACAGCGAGGTGGGGCCCGAAAGAGAAATCACCTCCCGAAGGGTTACGAACTGACTCTGGGGTTTCCGTGGTGCAGTGCTTTGTGTCTCCCCCCCCCTCCCACCTTCCCTCCCTCGGCCAGATTCTCTCCATCAGCAGAGTGTCACCTCCTGGGGAGAAGCTCGACAGGAACTGCTGTTCATTTGCACTTTTTTTTTTTCGTCATATTCAGTCTGGCGGATGTTTCACAGGTCACCTCAATGTTTAGGGTTCAGTTATGTGACACTGACATAATGCAGAAATACGTTTCCAGCGGTAACAAGCGGCAGAAAATGAAGAAAAAAAAGAGCTCAGATAATTCTACCTTTTGCCGTTATGTATTGCACCTTTTGGCTGCAATACATAACGCTTTGTATAGATTTTTTGCAAACCTAAACAACTAGAAGGAATATTTTGTTTGTTGTTTACCTCTCTCTTCAAAATAAAACATTTTGCAAAATGGTGCCTTGGTTGTGGAGGTTTTCACTGGACCACAGTGAACCCAGACCGCTAAAACGCACACACACACACACCGCAGTTATTGCCTCTAACCCATGTCCTATTACAGCTGGATTTATGACTGAGGGGGCCAAGGTGATAAATCTGTCCCGTAACCCTGAATGCATCAGCAGACACGAGGGCTGGCTGCTCCACCTTGACATTATTCACGCTCCGTGGCCCAGCGGTTTGTTTGGCTTACCCGCCCTCCTCCGTCCCCTTCCTCCCCTCTGTCCCCCCCCCCCCCCCCCCCCCCCCCCGTCTCCCTCTCCCAGGTCATTCCCGACTGGAGGGAGCAGGAGTGGGACACGGAGAAGCCGGAATCGTACGCCGGGATCTTCCACTTCCGCTTCTGGCGCTTCGGGGAGTGGGTGGACGTGGTGATTGACGACCGGCTACCGACGGTGGACAACCAGCTGGTCTACTGCCACTCCAACGACAGCAACGAGTTCTGGAGCGCCATGGTGGAGAAGGCCTATGCCAAGTTAGTACCGGTGCCAACGGATGCAGTTTGGATAGAGAAACACGCACCATAATCTCTACCAATCGAACTCTGCTCCTCTTCCCGTCAGGGTGTACGGCTGCTACGAGGCTCTGGACGGGGGGAACACGGCCGACGCGCTGGTGGATTTCACGGGTGGTGTTTCTGAGCCCGTGGACCTGCTGGAGGGTCAAATGGCAACAGACGAGGTGGCCCGGAACCAGCTGTTTGAAAGAGTGCTCAAAGTCCACAACAGAGACGGCCTTATCAGCTGCTCCATCAGGGTGACTGCCTCTTTTTGAGTCTGAAATTCATCGTTATTTTATTCTTTCTAACTGTGTTTTTGTGCGTTTGGTGTATGTTTATATCTGAGTCTACATGGGGCTTTGAGAGGTGATCAGAAACAGTGGTGCTTTGGGCTGAATGTTAATATCTGATGGTAATTTGTTTTGCAGCCGTTTGCACGTAAACCAAAGTATCCAGTGAGGTGGAAATTTGAACAGATGACGGTGCAGGATTAATATTCATCTGATGGAAAGCATTTTGTCTCTCACACGTCCCAAAAAAACCAACCATTAGCAGCATTTCAGCACCTGTTCTCTGAAAATGATCAAATCCACCACCAACGCTGACCCCTTGTGCCCCGGAGCGCTTTAATAACTGAAGCATTATCTGCCGTGATTTTTGAATTCAGGGACGAAACGCTGTCTGTGTGTGTTGACTCTCCCTCTCGGCACAGAGAGCAGCCTTCTTTACTGCATAAATTCTCTCTGCAACTTTTCAAAGCTGTCAAAGCTGTGTAGTACTTTGTTTCAGATTACGTGAGGTGAAACTCATAAATGAATAGTGCTTCTGAATTGTCCCTTTTGATGATATCGTGCAGGCCTTTTCCCTTTAAAGCCTGGGATGTTGTAGGCACTCCTCACAGGTCACTAACTAAAGCCAAGCAGCCCGTCTCAAATTATTGTATTTGAGAATTTGAGATTTCAGCCTGAAGGTAAAAACGTACAAAGTTTGCTTTAACGTGTGGCGGTCTGTTTAGGCAAAGAAGTCCCCGACTCGTTAAGAAAAACGAGTGCGCGCCGTCTTACGAATTGCTCGTCTTGTTCGGCACCCGGTTCTCTGTCTCATGCCAATCTGACACCCTGACAAGCTGCTCCAGCAACAACTGATGAACAAACCCTCCTTGTGAATCACACGCAGTTCCATTTTAAAATGGCACGGCTCGTTTATATGCATGAGTTTCGGGTTCGCAGAGCCTATTGTTCAACTGCAAAAGCAACGACAGCTCGGGGAACATCAGCAGTGCGACACCCCGATGCTTTTTCCACATGCCCCCCACCCCCACACACACACACACCCCGCCCATGTTTTTCTCCATCATAAAGTGTGAATGTGCTATGTGTGTTTTCCCCTGAGGAGGCCGTGTATTGAGGCTACTCTCGGCTGCTGATTTGTGGATTGAGGAAATCTGAGTTCTTTCCCACAGCTTATATTTGGACAAAGCAATTATTCGGCGTGCTATGCTGAGTTGACAACTGTTTGTCCTTTCCCCCTTTTGAATTTTCTCTCCTGTTAATAAGGCGCTCCGCTGTTGAACGTTTCCAGTGAATTTGATTGAGCAATTCATCTGTATTTTGATTGACTCAACGTTGCTGCAATGGTCTCCCCTGGGGGACCTTTGTTGCATCTTTTTTTTTCATGCCTCTACTTTGTAATAAAGGGCCAAAAATCTCCCAGACGCACACACAAAAACCGAGCTGGTCGTGCTGCTTCCATTGAACATTGCAACAGCGTCCTTTTGTGCCTTTTACCGAAGACCTACCTGTTTGTAATCTCCCGGGAAACTGCCAGCCTCCCTCTTTTACATATTTACAGAGATCCACAAAATCGTCAATTACCAACAACTTCCCTTTCCCGTTTCCCAGGCGACCACGATAGAGGACATGGAGGCACGGCTGGACTGCGGCCTGGTCAAAGGTCATGCCTACGCTGTGACCGACGTGCGGAAAGTCCGGCTAGGCCACGGACTGCTGGCCTTTTTCAAATCCGAAAAGCTGCAAATGATCCGCATGAGGAACCCCTGGGGAGAAAAGGAGTGGAGTGGCCCCTGGAGCGACAGGTAGGTCACTACGCCGCCACCTGCAGGCCGGGGTGACCTACTGCAGCGCGTCACATCTCATCCTGTCTCATTTGGCCTTCGTCTATCCGTCTCGTTTCTGGTCAAGCTGTTGCGTGGCTAAGGAAAGTTAATATTCCACTAATGTTCTCGTTAAAATGCAGCAGTGCATTCTTCCATTGACTTGAAAATTCCTCCTCGACATTCGTGCTAGGTCCTTTTTTAACTTTTTAAATTAGATGTATTTCATCCATGTAAACAGACGCGCAGTGCATTTGTCCTTTCATTCTTGACCTTGTTATGACATCTCTCTGTCTTTGTGAAACAAACAGGGAGGTGGTACGAGAGCATAATGGAGCCTGAATTATTAATAAGGCCGAAAAAGAGTTCTTAAAGAGAAGAAGAGAGTCGTTGCTCTTCTTCCTCAATCGCACTCGCTCGCTCTTGCTGAATCATTGATTCATGTCTTAATGAAAAAAACGCCAACAGGCTGTTGAGACGCTTGTCAGTGAATCATAAACGGAGACATAAACACAGACTACGGCATCCAGTGAGCAGTGAATACCGAATGGACCTTTATGTTTAGGTATGATTCACTCGTTCAACGCACACTTCTGCCCTAGCGGGGTAGAATCATGCATCATTTATGCGTCTGGACTTGATGTAGTAGTTGGCTCACAATCATTAGGATTATTTATTCACAGGTGAATTACCCACTATTCATATATTAAGACACTTTAAGACGCAGTGTTAATTAATATTTAATTGGTATTGAGTCTAAAGTGCTATAAGATGCTACTGACTGTGTCAATAAGACTATTTAAGTGTTAATGATAGCACCATAAACACATTTGTTGCTAGATTATAAGATATTTACACTTATAAGAATTTGTTAATACTTCTTCTTAATAGCCTTAACAAAAGTTTGTTATAATTGTTTATGATAGGATGTATTCCCTTTTTTTACTTTATTAAGTATAAGACATACGTCTTATAACAATACCTTTATTGAGGTCTAAATAATGGCTTAGTTAAACTCAATTAATGTGCAATGCCATTATAAATATTACAGTAAAGTTTTTTAATTTTCTTATACAAGCTTATCAGTTACATGTAATTCAACAATAAATGTGTTCACGGTGCTATTGTTAGCACAAAGTAATGTTAACCAGCATCGCACAAGGACTTGTGATTGATTAACTACCTAACTGCCTCCTCGCTGTTTGCTCTCATGCTCTGCAGTTCGGAGCAGTGGAACAAGGTGAGCAAGAGTGAGCGAGAGAAGCTCGGCGTGACCGTGCAGGACGACGGCGAGTTCTGGTGAGAACCGTGAATCTGCTCACAATCTAAATCACTGTTCCCCCCCGTTCTTTTAACCATTTATTGAAGTTATTATTTGAGCTAATATCGTTAAATCATTCATAAGCACCTTTCCAAATTCATTCCTTGTCGGCGCCCAAGTTCCCCGTTTCCCTTTTAACACATGACCCTTTTTTTGTTCCTGATTTCATTTCATTCCCTCTATTTTTGCACCTGTTGAAGGTCTTCTTCTTTCAAGCTTTTTCCTCTCGTTGGTGTCCACTCTCTCCGGTCTCCTCTCTCCTCTCCTTTGCCTGCTCTTCTGCAGGATGACGTTCGACGACTTCTGCCAGTACTTCACCGACCTTATCCTGTGCCGCCTCATCAACACCTCCTACCTGAGCATCCACAAAACCTGGGAGGAGGAGGTGATGAGGGGCTCCTGGGTCCACCGCCAGGACCCCCTCCGCAACCGGTCCGGAGGCTGCATCAATCACAAGGCCACCTTCTTGCAGAACCCTCAGGTCAGTGGGGGGGGGGGCGACGTTTGTCTTCACCTCACAGACGTGCGGCCGGTGCCGGTGGAGTAACACGGGGTCACCCTCTCTTTTCCGCAGTACGTGTTCGATGTGAAGAAAGTGGAGGACGAGGTGCTGATCTGCTTACAGCAGAAGGAGAAGAGAGCCACACCCAAAGAGGGCAAAGGGGAAAACCTCGCCATAGGCTTTGATATTCACCGGGTAGAAACACGCATGCACAGACACCCAGAATAGTATAGTAGTGCAATGGTTTAGAGAGTGATGCGTTACCCCACGCGGACGGATTTCTGCTACACTTGTCTTCTCGTCCCGCAGGTGGAGCTAAATCGTAAGTACCGTATGCACTCGGCTCAGCAGAAAGTAGCGGGCTCCATCTACATCAACTCGCGCTGCGTCTTCCTCAGGAAGGAGCTGAAGGAGGGCCGTTACGTCATCATTCCCACGTCCTTTGACCCCCGGCAGCAGGGTGACTTCCTGCTCCGCGTCTTCACTGATGTGCCTTCAGACTGCAAGTAAATCTGATCTATTCCCACTGAACACATAGTGTAACTTTTGGTTGAATGTCCCGAATGTACTTTGAAGCGGAGCGCCGTCGAGATGGATTCGCTAGCTATGGGTCGACAGCGTTGTCGTGTGTGTCCTTCTGATCAGTGCGAATGAGACACGGGGGTCTGTGTTGCAAAGGTTGTTGCATGAAGAGTTTCTGACAACATTGCACATGATTATTGGGCACATTGCAATATGGTGAAAGGATATATATTGTGCAGACCTATCTGATAGCTAATTAAGCTAAAGTCTTACAAACTAGATTGGCAGGCTGCATCTGAAGAATAAAATACTAACATGTTTGTATAAAGGATTTACTAGTCAATACTAAATGGAGATGAGGCTGCCTGTGAGTCGGATCAGCTACAGGGCGAGTTGGGATCAAAGAACTCTTTTACACAAAGTGCTTTATAGACTTCAGTGAAGGGATAGCAGCACAAAGGGACGAACCCATCCCATGAATGAGGAGCCATTGCACAGCAGCCACATGCACAAATTCTACGGCTGCTGTTCTTTGACTTGATTTTAGATTTGACTTTTACTACAAAGTAATTGTAATGGTAATTGGTCAAACGGATGCTTGAGTCCAGCTGGCTTCAACACTTTTATAGCGTACGCTCTTTCTTTCCCAGAGAGCTGACTCTGGACGACCCCCCTCAGACGTGTTGGACTGGGATGTGTGGCTACCCTCAGCTGGTCACTCAGGTCCACGTAATGAATGCCGAAGGCCTGCAGGGGCCGGACTCCAACGGAGGTAGGACCACTACTCACATGGCGTTGCATGCTTGCATGTTGACGATCGTTTTCTTGTCTTGTAAACTCCTGTAAACACCAACAGAGCTCCACTGCCTGAATCCCCATAAGGAAAGACCTCTGAGCAAAGTGCAAGGTACCACAGCACCATCTGCTGAGACTGTAGCTCCTGCTCTTAGCCTGTAGTGAACAGCCCTCACACCCTTAAAGCTCTCATAGCGTGTGCTAACCTCTTGCTTTTGCATTTCACTCACCTTTTAAAGCCACTATCTATCGTTCCATTTGCGTTTTTCAAGCTTTTAAGAAATATCAGCCATTCCGTATAAAAGTGGAGGCAGTACATATTCAGTAGCTGCGGGTGGGATTCCTCTGGTGTCCGCCCACCGGATGGTGCCAAACACAGTGGCTTTAGATTAATCTGCTGACGGAGCAGAAGTGGTGGAAGAAGTACTCAAATCCTTTGCCTCAGTAAAAGTACATTATAGTTAAATGTTTTCTAATTACAAAGAAGACCGTCACCTGTCACAAAGACTTTTGACTTCCATCCTTCAGCTGTAGATCCGTACGTGATCATCACCTGTGAAGGAGAGCGGGTTCGTTCACCTGTTCACAAGGACACGCGGTGCCCGAACTTTGACATCAAAGGCCTGTTCTACCGCAAGAAACCCAAGGAAGGCATCCACATCGAGGTGAGCCACACACGTCTTTGATTGGAGTTGTTTTATGCATGAACAACACTGAGTTGTGTGAGTGTGTCTGTGTGTGTTTGAGCTGCAATGAATGATCGAAAGCCAGTGTGTTTATTAGAGATGTTGCATTTACTCAGAATCGGAGGCCGAACTGTGCATCAGCACGTATCTATTTTCTGTTATATTTATATATTTTGTAAATGCAATAAAATTGTGTTAAATAGGATAATTATCTCATAAAAGCACAGTTTACAATTTTTTGTGCCTAATCGATCTCCCTTGTATATATTCGCTTTTCGTACCTTATTGTGTTTTTGTCTTTTCGATCCCCTCTTTCCCCCGTTCGCCCTCTTCTTGTCTTTCGGATCTCTTCACCAGATCTACAACAAGAACATGATCGTGGACACCTTCCTGGGTCAGGTGATCCTGTTCAGCGACCCCAACGAGCGGCAGGAGCAGCACACGCTTCACCTCCGGGACAAGGGCAGTCGCCAGGACAACGACCTGCCGGGCACGCTCACCGTGCGCCTCGTCACCGCCACCGCGCTCACCAACATCTGACGCGCTCGTTTGGCGTTCGGATGACGACCGGCACCCGGGGGTGGCGTTTGATGGCGCCCGGCGTCCGCCGTGGGCCCCCCGGCCGCGACGGGAGCTCACTGTGTCTTTTTTTCGCCCCCCTGCCGCTCGCATTCTCTTCGCGCCTCTTATTGTCTCCCCGTTTCTCTTCTTGCTTTTAAATTCAGCTTTGATGACTATATTTCCTGACGAAACACAAGACGACGTGTTTTCAAAGGAAGTTTTTTTTTAGCCTCAATCTCCATCAGTGGCTGAAGTACAATTTATCTGACTTTTAAGAACATTATAACGTCTTCTTTTCTTCATGCATACTGCTGAATTCCACCTTGGTTCAGACAAAGACACACCCTCAATGATTGACACACTGCTCATGCAGACATGTCTGCACTCTCCATGCATGTGCCAATGTTTCCAAGGGCTATGCATTGCCTTAAGGTCGAGTCCGCCTCTCCACCTTGAGGAGGATGTTAAATACTCTTCTCCATCAGCTGTCCTCAGTGCTAGCACAGCCTCCATTTCCGTCCTCGCTCCTTCCTCGTGGTTTTCATCTCTATTTTCCGATATCTTAACGTAACATATACTCTTTTATATCTGTGGATAATTGTCCCACCCAGTCATCTTAAACAGGCACCACAAGCCTCCACCAGTTTTGCCGGAGCTTTGGAGAGCATGCAGCACCGTCTGTCACTTTTTATTGTGGATTTTACAAAGAAAGCCAACAGCAGCTATTCTCTCGCCCTTTACTGAGAGCTTTTTCCGTGTTGTTCTGTGAGCGCGCTCACGTGTCCATCTTTGAAACCATCACAAACTCCCCGAAACGCTCTCTGCCGGTTGCTATGGACGATCTCAAAACTGCATGGCTTAAAGAAGGAGAAAAAAAAAGAACTAGACTCTTTGCCTGTGCTCTCTTGTCTCTCCGGTCGTAGCTTAGCAACCGGTGCTTTTGATAGCCTTCCCTCTTTGATCCCGCCCCTCCTCCAACGCGTGTACGTCTTCTCAAATCCAGCAGAGTGCAAAGATTCACCCTGACATAATCAAAGTGCTTTATGGGACCAAAGATGATCCTCTGCTCTCTTAGTCCCTTTCGGCCCGGCCCGGCCCGGCCCGGCCCGGCCTGGCTACAAACCACCACCCCCTGTGCCACATCATCCCTTAACGGCAACACCACTGCCTGACGCTTCCTCTGACTTGAGTCTTTTGGCCCCGGCCAAAGACCCAAGTCACCTGACCCCCAAGAGGCAGCAGCCGTGCTTCGGCTGTTGGCACAGAACAGGCGTGCGTGGTTGTGTGTGTGTGTGTGTGTGTGTGTGTGTGTGTGTGTGTGTGTGTGTGTGTGTGTGTGTGTTGCAGAGCAAGTGTCCGCGGGTGCTTGAGGGTGAATGAATGTATATCTCTCAATCCACGTTGTACCCGAAGGGAAACACCTTCTGCGGATGTGGAAAGGTGTGAACTGAAAGGAAAGGAGCCCTTCAGTGGAACACACACCTTGCACCTTATTTCATCTATAGAGACTTTAATGGATGAAAGAAAGAGGGCGGCGAGCTGAGAAGGCGTCCTGCCAAACGACCCGTGCCATCGCCGTGATCCTGGCTTTGCCTCCACAGCGGGAAAAACAACTTGGGATGAACTGTTGAGGGATTTCGGGAGGATTTCAGATGGCTTTGGCATATTGAACCAACACTGGTACAGTTTAATCTATCTGTGATGAACTATGACACTTCTTGATCACGAGGCCGTTCAATTTGGCCTTTTGTGACAGAAGCTTAAAAAGAAAATCATGACTTTTTTTTCTTATCTTTTTTCTTGTCAAAAGTGGAATATCACTGCAGAGACTTTTCATTTCACCTTTCATTAACTTTCGTTAAGTCTTAGTCTTGTTTTGTCTTTTTCACAATAGGAATTAAATCATTATCAAGATGTTTCCTTTGAATGTAAGACAAACAGTAAGCGGACTAATCAAAATCTATCAAGTTTGTTTTCCTAATTTTCTTTCAGCGCCTTTTTTACATTACTTGAACACATGGCATTTAATTGACTTTGTGTACAGCATCTTTGTAAATGCGTCTTGCATGGGTTATTTTCCAATATGTTCATGGCCTTGTATTGTACTGTTGAATTGTTACTATATATATATATATCCTTTCTATCTCAAAAGTCTTGGAAATGCTAGTTTTGAGCGGTCGGCATGTCTTACTCTTAACGCACCTCATGTCAGTCGGATCAAACCAACGAGTTTGATGCACTTATTGTCTTGTAGTACAGTGATAAATTCATAAGGCCTCTAGCATCTGTGGACATTAGCAGCAGTTGTTGACTTAAAATTAGGTGCTATTTATCTTCTCCCTGCTCTTTTACATTGTTTCTGGGCAGAACGCAGAACCCTAGCTAACGAAACGAGGCTGGATTTGGAACATTTTAGCTTGCAGACAGACTTTGTTAGAAACTGCAGTGCCGAGCAGTGTGAGGTTAGACTGTGCCGGGAAAGCTTCTTTTTTTTGTGTGTGTTTCACAGCCGGTGGGAAAAGAACGAACCGTTTCCTCCTTCCTCGCTGAGTGTCCTTGTGCGAGGCGCCGAACTCGCCAGTGGAGCCTAAAGGCCGGCTGTGAATATGTGCAAAATCAAACTGTGTATTTCCAGCTTGAAAACGAGGATGGACTGAAGGGTTGTTGGTGCCAAATGTGCAGGCGGCTACTTGGATTTTGTTAAAGTGGCTTTTTCTTTGTTCCCTCTGGTGACCAGACTTCCTCATCCAGACACACACGTTTTCTGGTGGAAAAGTTTGTTACAATGTGGCCAGACTGTAACGTTATGTCATTAATGCACAATATGTCATTTCCAGCTACCTGATTGGGAAATAGTGTAACAACTGGGGAAACGGTGCATTGGATTTAAACTGTTCTGATCCACGTGCTTAGAAGAGTCTTGAGGGATTCTGGAAATTCTTTCAAAATAGTTTAAATTTTTGGTTTTGTATGGAAAAATAATAACGAGGCACACGTTTGGGCTCGGTGACGCAGGCGGGAGCTAAAGAATTAGACTTTGCTTGCTGCATTTGGATGCAACTTTCACGCCATTTAACATAACGTTTTGCAGTCTGTTTCACTAATCTTTTATATTCCAGTTTCTCTCAAACTGTATTTTAAATATACAAGTTTTCAGCAACCATTTTTTATTAACCCCCCCCCACCTATTTCTATTTTTTTATTGTTTTCGATACACGCGAGACACAGAATTATGACCTCCAACATCCAACCTGACAGCTCTGACATACGGGAGTATTTGGCGTCACTCGCGATCCGATTATGAGCTGAATAAACAATGAGTCGAGCTCAATGTGAAATCTCGTCCAATTCATGTGCCACGCCGGTGCCAAAAGACAAAACAGCATTTGAGACAAAGGACGCTTTTGTAAAGACGTTTGCCATGTGACTGTCTGACAAACGTATGAAAGTGTTTTATTTTCTCCACTACGTCCTCGTCTCGAAAATGGTTCTCATTGCATCGCTTTCTTACCCATTAGTAGTCGTTGCAGATCGGGATTCTTTGCCAAAAGTGTTATGGCGTTCGCTGTTAACCCCCCCACACACACACACACACACACACACACACACACACAATGTATACACTCCAGCTTCTAGACCAACCGGGCCTGGTTGGAGTTGTGGACCTTGACTGTTTTTCTGGACATTCGCTGCAACGCTTGTTGTTTTTCTGTACATATGTGTTCTGCACGGCCGTGCCAAAGCGGGTTTTAAGAACACAAAACTCCGTTGAATGAACTGCTCACAGCGTCTGACTTTTGTACAAATCCCCAAAAATGCCAGTGCATGTAGCAAAAGCGCTTCAAATCTGCTCGCAGCATTACGAATATATTATATATATATATATATATATATATATATATATATATATATAAATTTATTTGAGTCTTTCTCTGAGTGTAAAAACTAAATCTGCTGTTGCTACTTTGATAAACATACTGTGTGAGGTAGAAGGCTTGCATGCATTACAACAGTATTCAGTTTTCTAATATTTTCTATTCAGTAACCTGCAGTATACAGTATGCATATAAAAGTAGCAGCAACTTGACTTATCCGTCGTTGTGATGGCTTCCATGTTTTGATGGATGTTATACCGGATATTCCAGACATTTATTTAGGGAGGAAGTTGATCACGACCTCTGGTGATCAGCAGGAATACGAAGAGGAATCTAATGATGGATTTATTCCGAGCCCCATAATGCCTCGCATGGATTTTAGTTGGAATAAGGTAGAAGAGAAAGATAATTTAGTTTTTTGTTTTGTGGGTTTTTAAGAGGCTTTTTTTTCCGTTCGCTCAGCAACGCGGCGATGTGGGCCGAGGTTCGCTCGCCTTCTCATCTCACGTCCTCGTCAACTTGGAAGCTGCTGCATGCGCCGAGCGCCACGAGACGTTGAGTTCGACTCCGGTTGCTCGTCACCGACATTTTTACCTGAGGCCGAGCGCCGTCCACGCCAGGAACGAGCTTGTGATTCTTCTTGTATTTTTCTGCTGATGTTTATTAACTGGAGACTGGAATACCTTCTGCATGGTGGCACTTCTAGAAGACGCTTCGGTCTTTCTAACAAGGATCTTTTTGTCAGTATTTTATAACCTTGTTAATTTTATATATACACTTAACCTCGCGTTCCAAACCGGTATGTTTACTGATGGCTGGGCTTCAGAGAGCTGTGCTGTGTGTTCTGTGCTGTGCGCTTTGTCTGTGTCTTCTTCTCAACGTGAGCTTTCCTTTTCTATTACTTGTATTTGTTTTCTTTCAATGCGTGTTTGTTGTTCTCGGTTACACTGTGGTTATTTTATATAGCTGCAAGCTGAAATTATACTTCTTTCTTTTGTATGTAATGTCAACTTGTGGCATGACTTTGAAATAAAACAGGAAAAAAATACGTTTGTCGTCATTTCATTTGAGTTAAAGCCACAGCGGAGGAGCTTCTGGTAATTCACATGAATTCGTTTCACTTAGAATGTGGCAACAACTTGGGAGTGGAGCCCTGGGGTCCTCCTCCCCCCCCCCCAGACTCCACCTCCCCAGCTAATCAGGATCAGCAGCCATGAACGGAGACGCCGCGAGTGAGTCCGGAGCCCCGTTGCTGACCTAGACGGCCAAGGACCGGGACCGGGCCTTCGAACCTCCGGTGACCCCCAGGAGGGGGGCCCACGAGAGCACGAAAGAGGAGGACAACGGGAGGAGGGATTTATTTATTTTACCACGACAAAACCCAGCCCAAATGAAAAAGAACCGGACGCAAATACAACAAGGCTTCATCACCTGAAAATGCTCTTCGAGTCCTATATGTTTAATTCAAAACCCCCCCCCCCCCCGCCCACCGAGGACCTCCTCGCGTCTCCCCAGGGGCCACGGGTGTGAGAGGAGACCAGGGCAACGACAAGGGGGGACATCTACAGAGTGTGTTTGGAGGTAAGGGGGGAGGAGGGGGGGGGGTGAGGGTCGAGGCCGAGGGCTTAACCCGCAGGCCGCAGTGCTCCTGCTGTAGCTTTAGGCCAAAGCCTCTTACTGCTCTGTGGCCCGTGTGGGCGCTTAAAGGAGCCGTTACGTCTCCTTCTGGTGAACACATAATGCTGCAGTGTGTGTGTGTGTGTGTGTGTGTGTGTGTGTGTTTGATTTCCCATTTAGATTCCAGTAGAGATTGCGTCTTGTCTGATAAGACGACAGTTTTAATTGTCTCTGAGACAATTGAACAGAATAGAACGAGAAATGTGATCAATACGACTAGAGACAAGATGAAGAAACCTTGAATAAATTACCCCAAAATAATTTCATTCCACTTGTTCAGTCCACACTAAAATATGTGATCGAGAAGCAGAAATCCCTCTCTTGTTTTTGATTAATTTTCCTCCTGTTTTTTTCTGTTGGATTAAGGTTAGATCCATTCTTAGATCCGTTTTTGTGAAAATGAGAGTAAGGATTCTTTAGAGGGAGTCAAAGTGCTGTCATCAGGGTCAAGAATAATGATATAGCTGATAATAATATAACAAAGCTAACATTGTGACACAGATACTAGTAGTTGTTCGTTTCGTTTTTGCATCTTTTTTTAGTACCAACAACAAAAATCTGAAAAACTGGCACACACGATATTGATATTACAATAACATTAAACAAGCCTCAAAACCCAGATATGATTAGATAGAAATATGTCATTTACAAAATACGTTTCTCAAAATAGTTTCAATTATTGCTTAATGTTGCTTACAACGTTAGATGAATGGAGCTCAACGTATATGTGTCCCTCCGCACAGTACAAGTAGCACAAACTGACTCTTGGCAAAAGCACCTTGAGGCCTAATTGAGTTGCACTGAATTCTCCTAAATTCTAGTCTTCTATGAAATCTTTTTCCACAGACTGGACCACCAGAACTCGTAGAAAACATGGAACCATTAAACGTTCTCAGTCAGCGATGAATGCTTCATGCCCCTCGGAATCCCTCCCATGTGAGTCCCAACACACACACACACACACACACACGGTAAACATGCATGTAGGCATTATGGGCCACACACGCACATTAGTACCCGGCGCATTAGCGAGAATGTTGTTGGGCCTTTGCATGAAAATCCCACAGCCGGTTAACTTGAGGTCACGTGACCTGTGACGACGGATGTCTCGTGGCGCAGGGGAACCGCAATGCCCCATGTCAAAGTGTCCCTGAGCAAGGCACCTAACCCCTAATTGCTCCCCGGGCAAAAATGTAAAAGCCATGGATTAAAAATGTAGTGTAAGTCGCTTTGGATAAAAGCGTCAGTTAAATGACCTGTAATGTAACTTCAAGGTCAGGTTTTGAATTATGTGGAGCTGTTCTAGTGGGACAGACGTTTGTCAGTTACATTGCTTTATTTCCTGTTTGATCTCAAACGCTTAAGACTGTATTTTACTATTCTACTTTCATCTCGGGCTAAACACTTTGTAATAATATATCATCATTTCTGGGCTGACTCTCTGTTTGAATGAATCAATCTGCAAAGTAACCAATGCTGTCAAATAAATACAGTGGAGTAAAGAAACAAAAACCTGAGTGCAGTAGAAGAACCTCGTCATGGTGAACGGTAAAGCACGGATCCATAGGTCTGTGTTTGGGATTAACAGATCGGCCCCCTGCGGTTCTGGACAAACAGGAACCACAGCTCAGCTTCGGTCTTTGCATTAGCCGAGCACATCGTGACCTCCTGCGTGCGAACGAGGCTCGAACGGAAAATAACTGCAGGCCGAATGTCTGCACAGCGCCGCCGTTACGAGTGGATCACACAGAATGTGTCTTCAGGGCAGAGAATCGTTTGTGCGGCAAACGTTAATCTACTTATTGGACCCCCAATGGATCGTTAGTACCCTCATCCCCCTTACCTCATGGCATCGTCATCTCACATGCAGTCCGGCCTATTTTTGGTCACATAAGCTATTTGTACTTTTTTTCAATGGACTAGCAGGGCAAAGGTCATCCAAAACGTGCCGTTCTGTTTGAATATTCCATTCAAACCGATCTTCTTGATTCATCACAGCTCCAACGTTGACTTGATGCATTTTTAAAGGCCGTCTCGCCACTCAATTCTTTTCCGTGTGGAGGAAAAGAACTTGCGTAGATAACCGGAGTCAAAGACGTCCTTGTGAGCCGGGTACCTGCAGCTTCCTCGCCGTCGGGATAACAAAGGAGAAAATGATATAACTGGCTTCTACTCAAGCAATGAGATTAGCCCCAGGAATCCATAAAGCCTTTAACATCCCCCACCAGACCCTTTAACCCCTCCCTCCTTTCCTGCCGGCGTCTAACGTTCATTACTAACCGCGACTCGTCTCCTTTGCAGAGCCCACACGCGGTGACTTCTGATGCGCTGGTACCGACCCGAGTCTGAACCATGGTCATTCTGCAGCAGGTCAGTCACGTTGGGGTGGAAACATCTCGATATATCGCTCATCGTTTGAACGGTAAAAGGAGCCGTCGACCATCAGTTTCTTCTTTCTGCTGAACTCACTAAATCACCTTTTGAAGGTGACGCTTTCCGTGAAGGTTTAAACCCAGATAAGCAGAAGTTCAATTATAATATCCACAAAAGATTAGATGGCGCCTGATATACAAATTATTTTAATTTTTTAACGGCAAATTCCGATTAAGATAAGAATTCCCTGGGTTAATTATATAATCATTAATGCAATATGCAGAGGGTCAACAAAAGTCAAATGTCTCTAGTTTCTCATAGTTCTACATGTTTGTGTCTATTTGCAGACTAGTCACACAGTCACTATTCAGCTAGTTACCGTCTTTCTGTTAGGAATCCTTGTATTTTCTATGTACTTTTTCTCTCTTGCACCGGAAGCCTGTTCATTGTATGTGGCCCTTTCTCCTCATCCAGGGGGACTATGTGTGGTTGGACCTCAAAACGGGCCGAGAGTTCGACGTCCCCGTGGGGGCCGTGGTCAAACTGTGTGACTCTGGACAGATCCAGGTCCTGGATGACGAAGGGAGGGTGAGTCAAAGCGGATACGAGTCTTTCTGTTCTATTACCGTCACAATTTGCCCAAAATAGGAAATATGTCACTCAGTCAAGGCCTGTCAGTTCATTTAATGATTGAAAAAAAGAAGGCATCTAAGCTTCTTTCTCTTTCTCGCAGGAGCACTCGATATCCCCCCAGAACGCCACCAACATCAAGCCCATGCACCCCACCTCCATCCACGGGGTGGAGGACATGATCCGCCTGGGGGACCTCAACGAAGCCGGCATCCTCCGCAACCTGCTGATCCGCTACAACGAACGCGTCATCTATGTTAGTGCCCCTTTCGTTCGCTCCTCTCGAGCTTCTTGGCATCGCTCACTCGGGGGGCGATCTCAAAACCGGGGGGGGAGAGAGATTCTCGCTTCTTCTCGCCCCAAACTGAGCTCATCCGTGGCGCTCACACCTGCTCGGGGTTGGCTTTATCAATGGGCCGAGCGGGCTTAAACAGGTTTACGATGCATATATCGTTTATTAGCTGGCGCTCAACAGCTCAGTCGTCCCAAAGCTCCTACAAACTTGAAATGTGTTGTGCAGTCGCCCAGTTAGTTGTGTAATAGCTTTTGGTTGTTTTGTTCTCTCTCTCCATGTAGACAAATTGTGGTGGAAGGGTGAGTATGAAGTCCAAATAGAAACACTTGCTGTGACTCTCTGCCTCTGCGATGCCTGCTGCCTCTAACATTATTCCATGTCTACGTTTGCTATATTTAACATGCAGCTGCTGTAACTGTGGGTGGTGAAGGCGGCCACGGCGTTACTCCAGTTATCTCTGCTGCTTCCGCCGCTGCTTTGTGTTGAGTTTAGACACCGGGAACCGTTAGCGTAACGCTACCACATGATAGAGATGGTTTAGTGGGACGAGAAGGTCGATCAGACCTTCAAAGAGACTAAATCTTTAGTCTTTATTTTCATTTTAAGTGAAGGTTTCATTTGTGGCTTTTCTTGGTCTCCATGTGTTGCTGTGCAACCTCGTGCTTGTTTTATTAACTGACTTTTATTCTCGCTTGTGTCATCACAAACTTTGAATTCTGTAATTCTCAAAGCAAACAAACCTCCCTAATCCACAAAGATCAGCGCTAAATGCCACATGCAGTGAAATGATTTCCGTCTGCAGGGACTTTCCTCCGCTGGAAAACTGCCTTCTTCCTTTAATAAGTTGTTTTCCCCGGCTACAGTCCCTAATATTACGTATATTTTATCTCTTCTCCTTGCAAAGCAGGTTGTGTTTGTAGCTTGAAGCTTTCCTTCATTATTCACTATATTCTTGGTGCAAAGGCAACATGCTTTGCAACGGGGATATATGCAATGAAACGCAAAAATAAAGACAAATTGCTTCTTGGTGCAAAACATTATGGCCGGAGTGTTTACGCTGTGACATCCTTTTA